ATTTTAATCAAAGAAAAACAGTTGTGAGTTCTTCTCAAAGGCCAGAGAACAGAAGTCACAGAAAGCAAGTTTTATATACCTCAAATACATGAAAACTTCAGCCAGTTGCTTACATAAAAGTCATCTTTTACTGCTGAAAATAGTGGGGGGAAATGAACAGATGCTGACATTCAGAACAATTGGGATCTTCAGATATTTAATGACAGAACAACGAACAATCTCATTTTTCTCCTTCCTGTGAACTGGGTTTGCAACAGAAAAACACCCCAAACTTTAATTAAAGAACCTATTCTGCTTGGGAATAAAGAGTCCTATGCACAATTTGGTCTGTGTGGAAGGCACAACGCTTATTCTACAGGTATCCCCTTTATCCTCAAGAATTTCTAGTGGAAATTGTCTGTCTTCAGAATTCCCTCTCAAGAGAGAGGCTGAGCCTCAAGCTGCAAACGAGTATTTTTAACGCGTGAAGCGCCAATAAAGATATTGCATTCATGTTGGCAGACAATGAAAACATGTCTCATTTGATACACTGTCCTAGTTTTGCTATGGAGAAATTAAAGCCCAGAAAACTGAAAAAAACTTGTTTAAGATGGAGCAGTTAAACAGCAGGGAGCAGGAGAATTCCTTCAGTTTTTCTGCTTTAGCTTCGAAGTTTATTCTATCACCTATAAAAGCAAACAAAAAAGCTCAGCTATTAAGTTCAGAGCCCTGTACAATTAGTAATTTAAGTTCTGAGGAAATAACACCCTAAAGACAGACAAATCCTGAAAAAGTCCATTTCTCCTTTCTCAAACCTCTTTACAATTTAAATGCTACCCTGTTCAGATCACATTTGACTTTTAGAGGGACTTTTAAGCAGAAGAGTGAAAACAGCAGACAGTGTGGAAGCAGGGCCGTTATCTATGACGCTGAACGCTGTCAGGATGTCATGAGGTGAAGTCTACCCAATTAAACTATTCAGTTAAGTTAAATCTTGAGTACATATACTCAACTCTAACTCATGAGAAGGTTTGGATACCTGCCGGGAAAACAAAGCACAGCTGATTATGCACAAAACTTCCTAAAGACTATGAACTACATGTTCTGCTGTAACGGTCCAGGTATGCCCAGGAAAGAAGCAAAGCAGAGATGAACTTCTAACTACCTGATATCTAACACTTTTGGGACAGGAGATCAAGAGGTAAAAGCCACTCCGGTAATAGCCAAATCCCTTTAAGTATGGAAAAAGCCAAAGATATTGGCCTGCAGTGACAAAAGAGGCCACCAGCAGCTTACACTGACCATTGCAGTCTGAAGTCAACGGCGAGCACGATTGCTCCTTGAGGGGAGCACATCCACAAGCATCCAGCACTGTGCAGAAGGCTGAGCCTGAGGTGGAATTGCTACACATAAGAGCCAGGCCACCAGCCACGACCCAAACACCTCGAGCAGCTGGAACAAGCATCCGCTGATGAGCGCCACAAACTCAGATGAACAACTAGCTCATCAGCACGCTATTCTATAGTCAAGAACAGTGGGTCCAGCATCTCACCTCTCTCCAAGGTTTGTATTCTACTGAGCTATACACTTGGTAACTCTTCCTCATACAAAGTAAAGGAAGCAAGTTGTTGTCCAGAGCTGAAAATAGACCAGAGCCTTTGTTAGTAATTGCTCAAAATACTCCCTTCTATGGAGGGCACAAAATGCTTTTCTAATTAAGGATGACACCTGAGCAATAGCAGTCTGCCTCAGAAACACTTGCTTTTAAGTCTCCTAGCTAAATCAGAGTTAGAAATATTTCTAGGTAACTCTGGAAATAGAATCTAGTTGTTGTTTTTGTTTTAAAGGAATACATGGGATACACCCCCCAAGTTAAGCTAGTGAATAAGCCCAAACTGTAACTTTGGTGACTCATAAGGTTTAATTTTTACACTAAAGCAGTCTCCTCCTAATATTTTTATGGACTTCTCTCGCTCTTAAAACTGCAAGATCTAGAACCAACTGCTGCTTATGGGCACGGAATAGAAAGCCCTGCCTCTGGAATACTAAGTCACCAACTCCACAATGCTATCCTCCAATTTTAACCCATCAAGGCTAGGACTGGGGACAAAGAATATTAACAGAGTAGTAATTCTACTTCTAATCCAATTAGTGAAACATGTCACCTATAGTTTGGGTATTCCCATTTTCACAATTACTTTGTGGATTCAATGAATTCAATACAGTGTTGATATTATTTTGTCTTTATTAATCTCTAATTGATAAATATACTAGTTCAGTGAACTCCCAGTATATTTGTATCCATAGATTTTGGTCCTTCAGAGAAAGCTTTAGTTCTATTTTTACACATGTCACTGTATCAATACCAAAGACAACATTTAGTATTTGTATATTAGGATTGTCTCTGTTCCTCTACTGGTGGTTACAGAGTTCTTGTAAAGAAGAATGAGATAGGGGTGTGGTTAAGAAAATTCCTCCTCACATTAATCTGTTCGAATCAATACTGGTTTTGAAGTTAAAATACCTGAATTGCAAACTGCTCAAATACAGAGAACACGTTCTGTAAATAGGTTAGCTGATAAATGGCCCAAAGTCAATCAGGATTGTAATACTAATTTCTTTAAATATTAATGAACTCTAAAACAGGTTAGCTCATTCCTTGATTTAAGAATATTTTATCTTTAATAGACTTGCTAAAAAACCAAAACTTGCTTCATAATTCCTCAGATCATTTACTTGCAATAGGAAGGAAGTGAAAGCTTGATAAGATGCACCTGTACTTGAAGGAAAACACTAATACCCAGCTCCCATCTGCTGGCAGGTGATGAAAGAAGCATCAGTCCTTTACTTCTATACTCTCACAACACGAATACAGAAGAAAATGAGGACCGACTTCCCTCCCACTTTTAGGATTTACTTCTCAATGAATACCTCTTTACTGACTCTCAGTCTTTCTAGTCCACACTTGTTTCAATTAAAAACACTTTCACAGCTCTAAAGAGTAAGTGGCTCCCACTTTAACGAATCCTTGCACATAATTTATTGTTCATAAGAACCTTAGCAGGTAAAGCATCCTGTAGGTCAACAAGCACCTTTTGGTTGTGTTTTTATCTTTGAGCAACAAAATGAAATAAGTACTTCTTGCCCGATTCACTCCTTCCCAAAGAGTGCTTTTCAAACCGGTTTCACTAGGCAGAAAGCGAGAGGCTAGTTTTACATTGGGAATGTGTTTGAGTCCATCCCTTCCACCTGTGCTCCTCCAGCCCAAAGAGCAAGTAATCACAGGAGATGCAATGTCTGCAGTATTGTTGGGTTACGGGGCTAACCTACCAGCTGAGGTTGAGGCTTTTAACTAGTTCTTCCGAGAACTGCATCAAGGTACCGAGAAGCATATTCATCTTCATCAAGTTAGGTGAGCACCAACATTTCAGCCTCCGCATGAAACTTCTTCCCTTAGGAAATACATTGTCTGTCAATGTTACTGCTTCCTCTCACGGTAACTGTTTCTTCCCTCACAATCTTGCAATACTTCTCTCAATTATTTAGCAAGCAATTGACACTCTGAGAATTCACAGGTGTAATCATGGATAAGTGCCAATAAACAGGTTTTATCAAGTCATCGCTACCCAAACTGCAACACCATGTTGCCCAAAGTTACAGGTGAGTAAGCTCTAAACAGGTGCGTTTTGGTCTCTCCTTTTCCTCCAACCCAAACCCATACTTCCAGGTCTCTGTTTTCTCATCTATTCTACCAATATGAGAGTAATTAAAAGCACCATCCACTCACACTTCATTCTTCATTTACATCAACTTCATCACCTTCTTAAAACCAAAATTTATGGAGTTAAAGTTGGTTTTGGAAACGGCATTAAGAGCACTGCACAGTCATTACTGTTACTCATACTTTGAATTAAGGGATCTTGGGAGTTCATAATAGATATCATTATAGATACCATACAAGCTATTTCACTTCAGCCTCTTCCTAAAGCCTCAGATTTGATACTGAAGTTCTAATTTTTCAACTTGTAAAAGACAACCCTCTTAAGGCAATTAACTTTACAGAGTAGTGATGCTACAGAAGGAAACAAAAGATGTCTACTTGCAGACTAATATAAGCAGCAAAGGAACAGATGAGATTTACCTACAGTTTAAAGAGGATTAAGTTCATTTTTCTAGCAAGAAGGCCTAAGCCTTCCCCAAACAGGTCAGAGTTCAGTCAATTTCAGGACAGACAACTCAATTCATTCCCTTCGGCTGAAAAGCAAGGTTTGGGCGATGGCAGTGTGGATTAAAGAATCTACAGGGCATCTTCTTTTAAAAATAGAAGCTTAAACACATATGTTGTTACACGGACTGGGTAGTACCATATGGCTATAGTACCATATGGCTAAGAGCATATGGGTAGTTCACTTTTTAGTGAACTAAAAGAAGCAGGGTTACTGGTGCTTTATTCCACAAATTCATTCTGCTCATCTCGGTCCTTTGGAAACTCTTAGTCAGATACAATTCCTGTACCCCATAGTGGCTCCGCTTGAAACCATCTTTTTGCAGCACAGAAGCAGTAGCAGGTAACTACAGCATTACAAAGCTTATCTCAAAAACAAGACCAAAAAAAAAACCCCACCCCCCAAAACACCCAAAAAAACCCACCAAGCATCACAGAATTTTTCCATCCCAGAAGGATACAGTAGAACAACGAAACAGAGCTCAGCCCAGGTCTCTCTTTAGATTTGCAGTCAGCTGCTGTGAACTGTCAGCACACTAGCAACCCTCTACAAAATGTATGTATTAACTTGAGATAATGGGGACTGAGCAGCCATACCTCACATCGTTAACACAACCTGAACTGACACAAAGAACGACCAGAACAGCCAGGCCACCCACCAACATAAAACAGAGCTTTTTTTTCCTCCCCTTCTGCATACCTGGTTACCACCAGACTTCTGAATGGTTCCAGCAGCTGAATCAAAACGTCACTAGTGCGAGGTGCACTAAATCTGCTTCAGAATATAAAAGGATACAGCCTTAGTGCTCCAGTCTGAGTCCCGATGGCCAGTATTTTCTGAACCGGATCAAATGCCAAGGCTGAAGGTTGATAGGGGAAACCATGGCGTACAGTCTAACAAGTCAGAGCATCGCAGTAATGATGGGTCAAGCAGCAGACCAAAAATAAACAGAATCAATATCGTATGTTAGGGAACAGGATTCGGTGTTAATCACAATTAAGAAAGGAACTGCAAACCATTTTAACAACAGACTGAGAAAATCAGCTGTCTTACATGAACCAATTATAAAAGATTTTTTTTTGTCATTATTACTCATTCATCCTTGATCACCAAGGGACAGTCATACGTACTGAAACTTAACTTGAATCTTACATTTCTTCTGTACAAGGACTGTATCAACTCAGCATTTTAATTTTTCATCCGTCTCACTCTCTGAGCAATCTGATTTTCAGCTCTAACAAAGGCACTAAACTATTAAAATCTGAGATGTTCCTAGGAAGTCTGGCAACAAAGCCAGACTTGTCATTAGAACTATTACAAATTACTAGACATGCTTTTCTGAGCATCACTTCAATTTCAATCCAACAGGCCCCACATGACAGTGCAACCTCTCTCAGCACATTAAGGAAAAAAAAACACCCAACCCAAGCTCCACAGAACCAATCTTTCAGCCTCTGCTACTCCCAAAGAGAAAAAAACAGCACCCCCCAAAAAATTGACAAAGCCAAAAAACACCCCACCAAACAAAGCAAAAAAAACCCTCAACCATGGGATTCTTTCTTAATATGAAACTATTGGCACATTTAGCTTCTTGGTCAGCCAAGACTAATTTGGTAATTGACCAAGCAATAACTCCATTACACTTCACAGGCTACAATTAATCAGAGTCAAGAACATAATGAAAGCGTCACCCTCTCTTATTGCCATTATAAACATACACAACATAAGCCACACAAACACTAGCTTTTGCTTTAAATTAAAGGTTTTGAAATGGAGAGTTATTTTAGGATCTCATAAAATGCATCGCAAACTTCTGATATACTCCTTTTACTTCCCTGAAGTTGCAGGCATACCCCGCAACTCTCAGTATTTCACAGTGAATAAAATCTCACTGATAACAGCTCCGCTCTTTTCCCCGTCCTTCGTGAACAACTTGTGAAAGTGGCAGAAACGCCTGCAATACTAGATAAAACAAGGAGGAGAAGCCACAAACAAGCTCATCCATATCAAGCTAGGCCATGGGTGCACTGTAAAGATAAAAATGGGTATTGACGTTCAAATCTGGTTTTATTCCTCTTGGTACAGCCGGTGGATTAATTCGCTGCATCATTTTCTGAAGTGTGCAGGCACGAACTGCAGTTATTGTATCACGCACAAGCAAATGAGAAAACCAGGAACTTTTCCTCTGTCTCCGGAGGAGATGTGCAATAGCGGCATCGGCAACTTGGCAACACACTGCAGCGAAACCACCACCACCACCACCACCACCGTCTACGGCCTTTTTCAGGCGCGAAGGAACAGGACAAACGCATCTCCCAATAACGCAGAGCGACTGATCCCCTGTCCTTCGGGCCCGTTAGCACAGGCTTCCCCTCAAATGCCGCGACAGTCAGATCTGCACTACAGCGAGGTACCGCTCCTTCCCCCATCCTTCCCACTCTTTCTACGAAGCTTTCA